CTCTCAAAGGGAAGACTCCCCACAGGTAATATAAAATAATGGTACTCGATGAAAATAAAACCAAATCATGGGGATCTGTGGTACACTGAATGAAGACTCTTCTTCACTCATCGGGTATAATCACAGGTCCTTATGTCCCAAATTGTCTGAGACAGTCCCCATTATGTTGGCTGTCCCATATAACTTCCATCAACAGCATCCCTTTCATCCTCTACGGTGTCCCCTGGTTTGAATGATAAATGATATAGTTACCTTAGGTATAATAATGGCTATTCACAAATCAATTTACACTCAAATGGATGTGACACCTTAGAATTTTTCAAGACACCCACCCAGCTGGAAGAAGTACTAGGTAATGCTATTCCTTCTGCACTTCCCTCTTTAAATCTGCCTGCTTGTCTTGAAAAACATCTGGAATCAAAATTAGAATCAAGGATCCAAAAACAATCATGACATCACCCAGTACCCTCTCTACTCTCAACTCAAAATGCCCAGTTCTGAACACGAGCCTACTTTCATCTCAAAACAGATCACACACTTGCAACGTGACCCCAGGTGATTGACCCTTACTGGTGTTCAAACCATTTTGCTGGATACACCCAGTGGAAAACCACTGACAATTGGTGCTGTCCCAGAAGTTGTATTTTCGCTCCATTTGCTGCTGCCGAGAGATGTAATTTGAGGCTCATTTTCTCCATTTGCCAATCTTAGCAGTCCCAGAACAACTATAAGCAATTTCTTTGGGGTTTTTTTTTTTTTTTTTGAGTCACACATGTGATTAATTTCTTACCCCTGTTGCTGAGTCTGCCAGCTATACCAGATGTCTCCTCTGCCCTGCCCTAGCACCCAGCGACATTCACATCCGTTGGTATCAATCGTTTTCTATGTACTAAATGTAACCCCACCCCTTTCTCTCCCACTCAAAAGAGCAAACCAAAACTCAATAAAGTAACAGGCATGAGATTATCATCCAGATAATGATGAATCCACTCCAATTTATAGAAAGTCATTCACAGATTCTACTCATCCATTCTTTTTTTCT